TGGCGGGCGCCTGTGGCCCCAGCTACTTGGGAGGCAGAGGCAGGAGACTCGCTTGAGCCCAGGAGTTGGAGGTTGCTGTGAGCTGTGCTGCCACGGCACTCTACCCAGGGGGACAGCTTGAGGCTCTGTCTCAAAAAAAGAACAGAAATAAATGGATGGATAGATGGATGGAAGGAAGGATGGGTAGATGAATGGATGGATGGTAGATGGATGGGTGGGTGGGTGATGACTAGATGGTTGGATGGATGGATACATGGATGGATGTAGGATGAATGAATGGGTGAATGGAGAGATGGGTAGAAGGATAGGTGGGTATATGGATGTATGTGTGGAGGAATAGGTGAGTGGATGGATGGGTGAATGAATGTATGGATGAGTGAGTGGATAGATGGATGGGTGGATGGATAGGTGGGCTGGATGGATAGATGGATGGGTGGGTGGGTATATGGTGGATAGAAGGATAGGTAATGGGTAGGTGGGTGGATGGTTAGGGTGGATGAATGACTCCACCATGTTTTTTACTGCAGCACTGGTCTCCAATTAAACACAGGCTTCCATTGCCTTGCAGCCTAAAGAGAGCTACCATATCTAGCTTAACTGTGGATGTAGCCAACAAGGAAATTTCCTGCGTGGATATCAAGCCACTGGTAGGTCTCAAACCTTAGAGTCATGCAAACAGGCCCTGAGGGACTGGCAGAACCCTTGTTCAAGATCTGAAAATGGAGGCCAGTCTATCTCAGTTACTGCAGTCACTGACCCCTGCCCCCAACATCATCCTCCTGGGCTTCCCCCTTATAACTAGCCTTCCCCAGAGCAGATCCCTGTTCCTTATTGGTCATCCTCCGAACGGCATCTGGCCAATTTGGGTAACAACATTTCTAGATGCTTCAAGAGAATTGAAAACAACACACCTTTTCACATTAACTTGTACATGAATGTTCACAACAGCATTATTCACAATAGCCAAAAAGGAGAAATGACCCAATAGATGAATGGATAAACACAATGTGGTCAATCCACACATTGGAATATTACTCAGCCATGAAGAGAAAGGAGGCTCTGACACAGGCAATGATGTTGACAGACCTTGAAGACATCATGTTCAGTAAGAGAAGCCAGACACAGAAGGACACAACATATGTGATTCCATTTATGTGACATGTCTGAAACAGGCAGATCCACAGAGACAGGACATGGGTTCGTAGCTGCCAGGGAGTTGGGGAAGGGGGCCTGCTGAAGGGAATGGGGCTTCCTTTTGGGGACATGAGAATGTTCTGGAATTAGACAATAGTGATGGTAGCACAGCTTTGTGAATATGCTAAAATCACAGACCTGTATACTTATGAAATAATAATAAAGGGACCAGGAACACTCATGTGAGCTTAGCACTTACCATGTGCCAGGCAACATTCTGGGTCCTTCTCTACATGCAAGAGCTCAGTTACTATTGCTGCAGACTCCCGAGGTAGGTGCTACAACTCTCCCCATTTTGCAGATGAAGTCACTGAAGCAGAGAGAGGTTCAGTTGCTCTTACAAGAGAGTCTGCACCCTCCAAAGCCTGCTCGTCAGCCTCTGAGCTCCACTACTTGGAGCAAAGGAGGCTCATGGGGGGATTGGGAGCTCCAGGAGAGGATAGAAGGATTAGATGCAGAACAGGGCCATTTTTTTTTTTTTATTACTGTTGGAGATTCATTGAGGGTGCAAGAAACCAGGTTACACTGATTGCATTTGTTAGGTAAAGTCCCTCTTACAATCATATCTTGCCCCCCAAAGGTGTGGCATATACCGAGACCCCACTCCCTCCCTCCTTCCCTCTCTCTGCTCTTCCTTTTCCCCACTCCTCCCTCCCTTTTTCTCTCTCTGCTCTCCCCTTGCCCCATCCCTACCATGTTGTTAATTATCATTAATTGTCCTCATATCAAAATTGAGTACATGGGATTCATGCTTCTCCATTCTTGTGATGCTTTTCTAAGAATAATGTGTTCCACTTCCATCAAGGTTAATACAAAGGCTATAAAGTCTCCATTTTTTTAAATGGCTGAATAGTATTCCATGGTATACATATACCACAGCTGGTTAATCCATTCCTGGGTTGGTGGGCATTTAGGTTGTTTCCACATTTTGGTGATTGTAAATTGAGCTGCA